CTGTAGTCCCTGCAGCGGGGAGATATAGGACCCTATACTATTCTACTATACATCGCCACTTGCCTGTATATATGTCGGCGGTCTTCGCTTCGCGTTTCGCAGCTATCTTGAAGAAAATCCTCAAAGTTGGGGGCTTCTCGCACGAAACACGCGCGTCCCGCACACGTCATATACACGACTGCACGAACACGATATGCACACCTGTAACTCGCGGCCTCGTCTGACAGCTGCGAGAGTCTAACCACTTTTCCACGCACGGGCCGTAAGGCCGCTCCGTTCTATCGAGCGACGCTCGTCGATCTGAACGACGGGAACGGAACGGAACGGAATGGGGACCAACGGGCCCCTTGGCTCGCGAGGCGAAATCGGCCTTCTCCGAGGCCCCTCGGCTCGGCTCGCCGACTTGTTGTGCGGCGAGGATGTATCGAAGATTATTTCGGCATGTTGAATATACTCCAAAATCCACTAGATATGGAAGATACTGAGCGTGAGCAAAAATTAAAGAAAAATAAAACGAGGGGCAGGAGGGAATAATAATGATCGGAGAGGTTGACTTTTACGTATGTCCGATCCTATGACGGCCTCTCACGCTTGTGTTCCGAAGGTCCCTGACATCTCCCGATCTTCTGCCCTTTCTCTCCTAAGCTCTTCTCCTACCTCCGCTCTCTGTCTGACCGCCACACCTTCTCGAAGATCGACTCGAGATCGACCGCGACGGTAACACGTTCCACTCTCGCAAAGAGAAAGAGAGAGGCTTCTAACAGCGAGGCTTCTAATCGACGCTGTCAAACAGATTCCGTCCTGAATTCGTGTCTTGGTTCTCCTTCGCCTCTCTTCGAAAGAGAAAGAGAGAGGAACGGGTCTTTCTTCCTCTTTTATCGCCCCTTCGTCCCTCCTTTCCCTCTTTCTCATGCTCCAACGACATCTTTCTCGATTCTACCTGCTTGCATCTGTCTACCTTGTTCGGATTTCATCTTCTACCTGCCTTTCTTCGGATCTTCGCTGCACCAATAGTAACCCAAGTCAATAAAGGAGAAAGGAGAAGACGGTTGCCCATCTTTATCTCTTAATCTCTCCTTCTTCGAGGTATAAAATTTGGTCAGTCGATGTCTTTTTTTCTTTTCTCTGTGCATCTCGCTTGCATCCAAAAGTTTCATAAAAACACGCTCGAAGAGACTTCCAACGTGGGATTGTTTCGCCCCTCTGCGTTCACTATGTTCGTATATGACACCGCACTCTCTTCATCCGACGCCAGATTCTACAGGATGTCACGATTAATCATCGATGATTTCAAGTAGATTAGATGTCTCATTCTAGAAGCAATATTGCTAACCTGCAAAGAAATCACGAGAAAAATTAACCAATAAATCGTTGAAACAGTCTATTAAAATTAAACGATTTATTGTGCAATGTTTTAATTTGCAATTTTAATTGAATGAATCATATAATGTCCAGGCTTGTGAGGCTTATCCGACGGTTTAACAAATATTTGCGGCCTTGTGTTGCCCGTCGCAAATATTGCTTCACCATTTGATCACGCGTGGCATCTTCTTTTCGATGAGAATCATATATAATTCACAAATACCGTAAACGTTATGCCTATCTCCTTTTGTAACGATTTATTTATAGAAAAATCTCTAGTATTTTATACAATAGTACTTTTACAATCTCTTGTATTTAGGAAGAAGGAATATATGGTCATCAAAAAAGTTTCAAGCAATAGTATTTATCCGAATAAAGTGATTAGTTATAATTGAGTGATTAGTTATAATTTAGTGATATAGTTATAATTGAAGATTCTAAGTTGAAACGACTCGCGTAGGAAAATGATAAATCGTAATAAGTGAATTATTTGATAATCTCGATATGTCAATATAACAAAAAAAATTATCGTAAAACGGGTTCATTGTCTTGAGACAGGAAACATGCTATTTTATAGCGGTGTACACGTTACCGAGGGAAGTTCAATCTAATCAACGTAACGGCTTGTAGCATTTTTCCGGACAATGCGCTTTGAAGAGAGCTCATAGAAATAAGTTTTTGTGTAACCTAACATAATATATCTCGATATCTAATCGTTGTGTTGTGGGTAATAAAAAACTGGAAGGGATTTCTGGCAAACTTTGTGAGAACATTAAAATCAAACATAAAGAAAGTGCACACGATCGATATAAAACTCTCATGAAGTTTGTATGAAGCAGTTGTGCTAGCAAGTCATAACAGATGCATTTCCTTAAATTAGAAAGTTTTAATATAGAAATTTATTGAGATTGGGAAAAAATAAAAGATTTTTTTGCAAATGTGTCTGCTTAAACGAGAACTCATTATTCATAAGCTTTCTACATAATTTTGTAGATATACACAAATCGCAAAAACGGATACGAGATAGATTTCGTTGCAGTATATATTTGAAGAATAACTGCGTTTGTGAGAATAATGGAGAGAAATAATATTCTATCAAACAATAAAATTACTCGTGTCAACATCGTTTCATCGTGATTTGCGTGCAGAGCGGAACTCAATTTTCAATTTTACGACATGAACAATGTTAGTATTAGTCAAACCTGAATTAAGCTTTGAAAATTTTTTTGACATGATTATATATCAGAAAAGATTTTTCTTTTATTACGTTTTTTCTATTTAGTGCTATAAAGATAATGTTGGAAAGCCACAATGTCACATAATATAAAATCGTACGATTGAATAGTATTCACAAGATGCATTGAGAATAAAAGAGAACGAAGTATATAAAATGTAAGAAAACGGAGAAAATGTTAAAAACATATTTTAGCATACATTATATTCTGAAACAATATAACCTTAGATAAAATATATTATTAACAGCAGTATATTTTTAAAATATAGATTAGCAATATTACAATATACAAATGATAATTCATAAAATATAAGTTTCTATGGCAGCGTGCATGTAGAATATGAAATGTGTGATAGATTTGCCATTAATTATTAACTTAAAAGAAGTTGACGTATGTAAGAAGCGTTAAGATTCATCCGTATCCCTGACATTTTGTCGATCGCACGAGGTCATGCAGTTGAATTTACATTACTTCTGTTAATGCATCTTAGCAATTTGTGATTTTTACTTTTTCTTATATATCATTAAAATTATCGCTTAATAAAAATAATTTATATATATTAATTTAATTCTGCATCTTACATTTCTATAATGAGACATAAATAAAGTTGTAAAGATATGAAAGCTTTGAGTATATAATAAAGAAAATAAAAAATGGCATCTACATCTTGCATTTCCTAAAAAAAAAGACTAAAATAATCATTTTGTATCGCAAAAATGCATGGCATTAAATAAAGCAACAATTATTAAAACCTGATTTTATGGATATTCGTGATTAAAATTAATTAGTACAAAAATTGTGTGTATATTGCCAGTCGACAGTTTAGTGATAAATTGCAGCACCGTATAATAACTTCCATATGTTACTAAGTACATATTCGATAAGATCAAGAAAAATAAGCAAAAACAAGCTAAATAAAATTAAACCAAAATTAAGATTAAAAAAACAAATAAATAAAATACTCACGCATTATTAACGTTTTCATAATTCAAACTGTCAAATTACATGATCTTTGCTCAATGACAGACAATTATTGATACGAAATAATGCATTAAGATAACGAAGTGACATTACGAAAAAAGGCAACAATAAACTTCAATACTTGTAAAGAATCAACTCTACATGCTTTTCTTAAGTATTTGGTAAATCTTCGATATAGAAATGACCACGAAATTTTTTGAAACTCACATATTTTATGTATTTTGAGGCGTAGAAACTGAATCCGTTGAAAAATATTGTCGCTCTCATTCCAATTTTTTTATATATTCCTGATTAAACATAGTAATTTTATGAGTGTAATATTGACGCCGAGTACATTGTCTGATTGGTATATAAGAAAATAACCATTTTTGTTATAATGTTATCTACTGTATTTAGATATATAATTGAAATAAGATTTATTTAAATTACTAATGTATGTCGACTGCAGTTAATACGCAGTCATTGACTTTAGTCAATAATCTAAAAAGAGTTAATACGATACAGGAGAGAGGTTTTTTGATTACATTAAAATTGCATATAAAGAATGCACATAAAGTTGGTCACGTTGTGTACATTATTTAAATGGTTAATAATATGTACATACAAATAATGCATTGTTTTTTAATAATAAAAATTCATCAATTGTATAACTATAGTACTCTTTCATTAAAATTACAATAATGTTAATTTTATATCAAATAAATATTATAAAATTGTTTTTTTTTTAATTTTTAATTTACATATTATACATATACATAGCACACATCTCAGCAGGCATTGTTGCAAAGTAAAAATGTTTACATTTTCATGTAAATGGTTGTAAATAATTGTAAATTACATTTGATTTATGAAAAATATATACATATACGTAATTTTGTTATTATTTCTTTCAATACTTATAAATAATAAATTTCTATAGTATTTTATAATAATAAATAATTTATCATGTAGAGCTCTTAAATAAATAGATCCAACATTTACGCAATTCCATAACGTCGCGAGACATCGGTAGTAATTAAACGCAAAATCATAAATTTGAATTGAAGATTCTAAATCGGAAATACTAATATAAAGTGTGTAACGTGTAATTTTCTATAATTTAAAAAAACTATACAACAAAACAAGAAATATAATAATAAAACATTACCCATCACTATTGTTAGTAATTGTCAGGAAATTTTGTGTTCTCTCATTTGTCTTTACATTTTTCTTTCCGAATTCCAGATCTTAATTATTTCGATTAAAAGCGTTTAAAAAATGGACTGTCAAAGAAATAAATTTCTCAACATTGATTCTGGAGATGAAATCGTTATTTCTGGTATCGCCGGTAGATTTCCTGAATCTGATAACATAAAGCATCTTCAGGAGAATCTGTTTAACAAGGTAAACCTTGGATCAAATGACAACCGACGATGGAATCACGGTAAATAACATTTAATTCTATTATATGTAGGATACATAATGTGAGAAAATCGTATAACATATTTTATAATAATTGATATAATTATAAATAACAAATTAAAAAGGCTCTAATATAAATATAACAATACGAAAATTGGAAAGAGCTAATAAGAGCCAAGTGCAGTAATTCAATACACCGAGTTATTTTTAAAAAAAATTTAAGAGATCTTCTTTAATAATGTACGTTTCGATCCTTCCTTTGGATCATCTTTAGCAAGTTAACAAAAGCTCGCATGTCCTGACATTCGATCTCATCTCCCGTCCCCGCAGTGAGTCTCCTATCAGTTCCAGCCGTTAAGAGATGGCATAATGTCCATAGGATAGAACATTACAAAGCTGAAGAGAATTAAAGATCGAAAAATAATAAAATTCTTTCCGAAGTGAAAAAATTAATAAAGCGTAACGAGGAGACTCACCAAATTAGTTTAAAACAAGACGGAGAGCCGAGATCGAGGAAACACAAACATCCGAGTGTCAGAGACAAACGGCACGCACTGATACAAAATTAAATAATAACAAGACTGACAAAAAAAATAGTCTCAACCGACAAATGGGCATGGAACGTCTCCATCATACGTATGCTTTAATTGTACAAAATTTAACGAAAATTTAAATAATCTCTTGCGCTTGTATTGTGCCGCCCCTGTTGTCTGCGAAGTTATAATTTTGGTGAGTCTCCTCGTTATGCTTTATTAATTTTTTCACTTTGAAAAGAATTTTATTATTTTTTAATCTTTAATTCTCTCCAGCTTTGTAATGTCTTATCCTATGGACATTATGCCATCTCTTAAAGGCTGAAACCGATAGGAAACTTACTGCGGGGACGGGAGGTGAAATTGAATGTCAAAACATGCGAGGTTTTGTCTGTTAACTTGCTGAAGATGATCGAAAGGAAGGATCGAAACGTACATCATTAAAAAAGATCTCTTGAATTTAAAAAAAAAATAACTCGGTGTATTGACTTACTGCACTCGGCTTTTATTAGCTCTTTTCAATTTTTGTATTGTTATATATAATTATATTTTAATTGTCTAAATATATCATTTGTTGACGCAATTACATTATATATAATCAATAAAATCCTCAAGTAAAAACAATATCTTGTTTAAATCAAATAACTGAAAACTTACAGTTCATCCAGAAATACCTCAACGCACAGGAAAAATCAATAATATGGAGAAATTTGATGCAGAATATTTTGATATTTCCTTCGATGAAGTCGCCGTGATGGATCCTATGGGTAGAATGTTATTAGAACATACCTATGAAGCTATTATCGATGCAGGAGTAAATCCGAAAGATATACGTGGGACAAAAACTGGAGTTTTTATCGGGGCATGTTTTTCTGAATCTGAAGGCAATTGGTTCTACGAAAAACTGCAGGTATAAAATGCTACTAATGAGTACTACAATCAATAAACTAGTTCAAATTTATACATTACTTGTAAAAAAATTTTAATTGATAATATATATATATATGTATAAAAATAATTCATTTTTTTGATAATAATATGTATGAGTATTATAATATAAGCAATAACAATTTCTCTCTAAACAGTTTATATATATGTATTAGGTATCAGGTCCTACAATTCTTGGATGTAGCAAGGCTATACTGGCAAATCGAATATCTAACTGGTTAGGTATAACAGGTCCGTCTTATCAAATCGATACCGCTTGCAGTTCAAGTCTCTTTGCTATGGAGCATGCTTATAGAAGTATGCGATCGGGAGAGTGTGACGCCGCTATCGTCGGTGGTGCAAATCTCTGCTTACATCCCAATTCATCCTTGCTATTCGCACGACTTGGTATTGTTCCTCTTTGAATGTTAAAAATGTAAACTATAAGAGATATATAAATTCGAAAACAATTTAAAAATATATACTCCAATATATTACAATATATGTATATTATGATTCATAACTGTTTTGATTCTAGGAGTTTTATCGCTTAACGGAGAAAGCCAATTTGTTTTGTGTTTTCCGGAATAGGATCGCAATGGCCTGGCATGGGTACGTATTTTACTTTGCATATATATACATATATATACATATATATCAAAGAAGCAATACCTTACAATTAAATTATTTCAATATTTACGTTAATAGGTCAAGCGTTACTGCAATTCCCGACATTTTATGAAACTGTAAAAAAGTGCGATACTATTTTAAGGACACGTGGAATGCGCATCATTGATGTATTAACAAGTAAACACGAAGCAATTTTTAGCGGTATATTGAACTCGTTAGTTGGCATTACTGTAATGCAGGTGATGAATTATCCATTCTAATTGTCGCGTAAATCATGCAAATTATATAATTTATTCAGAATTTAAGAAAAATAATAATTTACTTCTCTCTTTAGATCGGATTAATCGATCTTTTAAAATCTGTAAATATCGTGCCAGATTATGTTGTCGGCCATTCGGTCGGCGAACTCTGTTGCGGATATGTGACTGGTAATTTTACAATGGAACAAGTGCTTCTCTCCTCATATTATATAGGATTGGCGTTGAGTGAAACAAAAATAGTTCATGGCGCCATGGCGAACATTGATCTTAGTTATGAAAATGCTAAGAATATATGTCCTCCGGATATTGATATAATCTGCAATATGAGTCACAATACTTGCTCTATAAGTGGGCCAAAAGAATCAGTAACAGCATTTATGACAAAGTTACAGGTGCTTTTATACAGGATGTTCAAAAAAAGTGTTACTAAATATTAGGAGTATGTAGTACTCATAAAAACAAATGAAAAAGTCTTAATAGTAGTACTTCAAAAACCATTTATTGCTGAATTATAAAGCTATCTGTTATTAAATAAATTCAATCTACAGCAGATGTTCAGTGTGCCCTCCGTTTTAACACATCATTCGGCATGCTTTCTCATTAAAGATCGAACACGTTCAAAGATACCAGATATATTTTGTATTTGTTGACAATAATACGTTCAATTTTCTGTATCAATTCGTCCAATGTGTCAACTGATGTGGCGTACACCATCGCTGGATCGAAGGCCCGATTGTTTCGGGTTATCAGCACAAAGATCTTGTTTGTATAGTTTATGCATCTATCAATTTCAAAGATGTAATGTTAGCGACAGCCAAAATTATCATGGATGAATACATGTCACGCGGACGGCTAGAAGAATGTCTGATAGGTTTGGAATATGTCGGTATCGATAGTGTTGGACGTAGAATAATGGGAATTTGGGAAAATAGGTACGTTACTGTATATTCGTTGTTCACAAGTATTTCTAGCTAAAAACTGGACTAAAAAATCTACAATTTACAATTTAGATTATTTAAATAATTTATATTTTAAATAAAAAATTCTATATCTCATATTTTAGATAACAATTTTGTCAGTGCATCCACATATTTACATTTTAATTTCAAAAGCAGAAAGACTTATTTAAAAATCTTTGTTTTGTTTTTAAAAGATATAAAATAAAATTATATATTTTATTTTACTTTTATATTATATCTTACAAAATACATAATGAACTTTTTTTTTTAGATGTATATCAAATATTCGCGTAGCCGATAGACCTTTATGCTGGTATATTCCTGATGAATGGTCACTGGAGGACGCTGCGACAGTCCCGTGCGCTTATGGCACATGTTGTTACGGACTATATGTAAAGACAATGATGAAGAAAGGCGACAAGATATTAATTCATTCGGGTACTGGAGCCGTAGGTCAAGCGGCGATTCATCTCGCGCTTCACGAAGGCTGCGAAGTATTCACCACCGTCGGCACTCCGGAAAAGCGAAAGTTTATAAGAAAGACTTTTCCATCTATTCCAGACGATCATATTGGAAATTCGCGCGACACCAGTTTCGAGCAAATGATATTCCGAAAGACTAACGGTCGCGGCGTAGATATCGTACTGAACTCATTAGCTGAAGAGAAACTTCAGGCTTCTATTCGTTGTCTCGCGAGAGGAGGACGTTTCTTGGAAATTGGAAAATTTGATTTTATGGCTAATAATATATTGGACTTGTCAGTTTTTTCGAAAGGTATTTCATTTTACAGCGTTATGTTGGACAACTTATTCTCGGCTACAGAGGAACGAAGAATGGTATTGAATAAGGTCCTAGTCAATGGCCTTATTAGCGGCGCCATCAAGCCAATCAGCAGAAAAGTTTTCCAAAGAGACGAAATTGAGTCTGCATTTAGATACATGGCAGCTGGAAAGCATATAGGAAAAGTAAGTCTATAATTAATTAAAATAGTTTGTAATTGTACTTTTTATCAAGAGAGACAGCACATCGCAATGTACAATAGATCTATATTACAATATATTACAATTTTTAGATAGTTATAAAAATACATAAAGAAGGCGAATCCATAAACGCACCAATTCTGGCACTTCCGCGTTATTATTGTATGGCGAACAAGACATACATCATTTTCGGTGGCTTAGGTGGATTCGGTTTAGAATTAGCCGATTGGTTGATTATTCGAGGCGCCGAGAATCTTGTGCTTGTCTCGCGCACAGGAATAAAGAACGGATATCAGCAAATGAAGATTGACTTGTGGAAATCTTATGGAGTGAGGATATTGATCTTATCGAACCTTGATGCGTCAAACGTCAATGATTGCGAACGTATATTGAAAACAGCGGAAAAGCTAGCGCCAGTAGATGCTATATTCAATCTTGCTGTAATATTGAACGATAAGATCTGCCAGAATCATACTGTAGAGACATTTCAAGAGCCATTTAAAGCAAAAGCTTGGGCGACGAAGAACTTGGATCGATTGTCTAGAAAGATATGTCTCCAGCTTCGACATTTTGTTGTGTTCTCTTCAGTTTCCTGCGGTAGAGGCAATGCCGGACAGAGCAATTACGGTATGGCAAACTCTGTTATGGAAAGAATTTATGAGAGAAGAGTGCAAGAAGGTTTACACGGACTGGCGGTTCAGTGGGGCGCAGTAGGCGATGTCGGCCTCGTGGCCGACATGCAAGACGACGATAGGGAAATGGTTATTGGCGGAACTTTGCAACAAAAGATAAGCTCCTGCATCGAGAAATTAGAAGAATTTTTGTTACAAGAACATCCCGTAGTGGGAAGTATGGTTGTAGCTGAGAAGCGTTCGGACGCTTTTGGCGCAAACAATATTGTTGAAACCGTGGCCAATATTATGGGTAAGTTAGTATAGCATAAAAAATTAAGCAATTTAATTATGTGTAATAAAGCGAATTAATTAAGTATAATAAAGCAAATAAAAATATTGTATATTAATATAGGCTTGAAGAGTTTGAATAACGTGGCTCGCTACACATCTTTGCCCGAGCTCGGCATGGATTCGATGATGGCTGTGGAAATTAAACAGACTTTGGAACGGGAATTTGATGTTTACCTTACAACGCAGGATATTCGTTATCTCAATTTTGCCAAACTTATAGAAATGTTTGACGAAAATACTTCGAACGATAAAAGCGTTCGAGATGTGAACGAATTAAATGGCATTAAATTGCTCGTTCGTTTGATAGGTAATGATCATATGTTTTTCTTACAACGCAGGATATTCGTTATCTCAATTTTGCCAAACTTATAGAAATGTTTGACAAACATATATCCAAGGATAAAAGCAACCGAGTTGAGAACGATTTAACTGGTATTAAACTGCTCGTTCGTTTGATAGGTAATGATCATCTGATTCGCGATATCTGTATAGATTTACCGACAAAAAAAAACAAGTCGAGAAGCGAAATATTTCTATTGCCAGGAATGGAAGGCTGCGGAAATATATTCGATGCGCTGGTAGAACAAATCGAAGCTCCAGCAACATGCTTACAACATGGAGCATATCATATCGGCACGAGCTGTACTTCAATAAATGAGATTGCAGATCGTCTTTTAAAAGTATAAATCATGTACTTAATTACGATTATAGTGTCTCACAAAATATTAGAATAGCAGAATAAAATTAATATAGTATTATTTCTCAACGTATTTTACTATATCTTATAATTTTTTATTTGTTTGTAGCATATTTTGAGCAAAAAGAAATTGAATCGGGATCTTGTAATAGTGGGTTATTCAATGGGATCATTGATCGCAATTGAGTTAATGCGAAAATTAGAAGGGATGGATCTCCAAGGCCGATTAGTGCTCATCGATGGCGCACCGGAGCAAATGAAAGCTATAGCAAATCAATTTCTACCTTTTACCACAAATTTTGAACTTGAGAATAATGTCCTGTTAAGTATAATGGATACTATACAGCCAACACTTAGTGGAAAAGTACATATATTATTCATAGGTATCATCACCCTTGAATGAGTGATTCTTTTTGGTAAAAGTCAAAAGTAATCTAATCTTTACAGCTGCTTTTGGAGTTAAACAAATGCACCAACTGGAACGAAAAATTAGATATTTTTATTACTCATGTTCCTCCAACTTATACAAAATTGTCAGTTGACAATAACAAATCTTTGTGTACTACAATTTACGAACGTGTGATCGCCGTTCATAAATATGATGTAACACAGTTATCAAAAATTAATTCACCTATAGTACTTCTAAAACCTACAATACAAGTTCTGCCTTTTTTTCAAGAGGATTACGGTTTACATGAGGTAATTTGTACGATGATTATAAAATATCACTCATACAGCAGATTAGTTTTACAGGTAAATAATTTTCAGATTACTAAAGAAAAAGTGGGAGTGTTTTATATCGAAGGTAATCACATTACAATGATGAACAATGATAAAGTCGTCGCTGTGATTAATGGAGAATATATCGAAAGTGGCAAAAAATCGAAACCACGTATAACAGATGACGATAAAATAACATCTGTACAAGATATTCGTACCAGATCGTAAAAGCAGCATATTTAAGCACATATTAAATATTTTGCAGTGTAATAATTCTATATATTATCTATATATTATCTATATATTATCTATTTGTGATGTTTTTATTATATGTATAAAATTAAATAAATGTTTTTAGACATTTTACAATGTAAAAAATTAACAATACTATTGCATGTTAACACTTAATATAATGATATGCATATAACATAGTATAATATTAATATACAATTATTTCGTTAATTTTTAATTGAACGTGCAGAGTTAAGCATCACACATTTTAAAATATTTAAATAGGCACGATCACGATAACTTTGGCCTCCTATTTGAAAAGTCGTTTCTGACGGCAATTTTGACAAGAAACACGGGAAAAATAGTTAAAAAATCCCATTGTTGTTTATTATCAACCGCACATAAAAGCCTTTGGTAAACAAAACGAGATAGAAAAAGATAAGCGATAGCTATCAATGATTAACTTTTTTGTAGTTTCATTCATGCGCTTTTATTTTTATTTTATGCTACATATACTTCCCCTTCCATCCACGCAAGATATAATACATCATTCTACGCAAAATCAATTCTATTCTGATATTTTATCACTCATTCATCATTTCATATAGAATACTCTGTAGTCAAATCTGTATAACAAAGTTTGACGCAATATTACTATGCAATATGCTGCATCTGCACATTTTGAGATCGTTGTACAGATTACGATCTTTCTACTGCAAAACTCCAATATTTCGAGAGTTTATAACATCAGGAATCGGTCAGTGGCAGAGGCAGAGTCCGATACATTCATAATATAGGTACTTGAAGAATGGTTTTCAGATTATGTTTAGACTTACTTTTAATTTAATTAAATTGTTAACCAATGCAAAAGTTATATATAAAATGTATGAATTGACATATCGTCAATTGACAATATGTTAATTCATACATTTTATATAATTTGCATTGATTTTATTGTACAATGATTTAAAAATTGTATTTTTATAACTAACTTAATGAATCATGTAATGCCCGAAGTTCCCCCAACGATTTAACAAATATTTGCGGTCTTGTGTTGTCCATTATAAATATTGCTTCACTATTTGATAACGCGTGGATTTCTTTTGATGAAAATCATACATAATTCATACATCTCGTAAATTTCGTAAACTCTGTTCTTATTAGCCTATCTTCTTTAGGAGAGATATTTCTATAGAAAACTTTCTTTGATAGTACTTATACAATTTCTTGCATCTACGATGTGTGTGTAGAGTATACGTTCTTAACATTAGGAAAAAAAGTTTATAAATAATAGCATTTATTCAAATATAAAAAAATCATGAAAAAAATGAGTCATTAAAAAATAGACATTGTTATACTATTCAACTTTTGCTTGTACCATTTCTTTTTATCTTCATTGGAACAGATGCTAGAACCCGTCTGAATTGCGTAGTCTACCCTGTATATTTATAAATAACCCAATGTCTTTTTTACATAATAAAAGATCCGTCAGTTATATAATTATTTACTTTCTCATTAAACATTAAAATAATTTTTATTTTGTCAAGTATATATATATATATGTATATCGCTCCTTTAAAAAATTTTGATTTACACATATACATGAAATACAATCCAGCAGGTATTATTGCAAAGTAAGTAAGGATGTTCATTCCTTTATGTAAATAAATGTAAATTATATTTGCTATATATGTATAAGGTTATAAGGTTATATAAGGTTAATATATATATAGTTATGTTATTATTCTCATACATTTATTTCAATGCTTATAAATAATAAATTCTTATAATATTGTATAATGATTAGATATTTATCATATAGAGGTGTCTTATACAACATCTGCGATGTGTGTGCGGAATATTCTTAACATTAGGAAAAAAATTTTACAAACAATAGCATTTATTCAAATATAAAAAAATTATGAAAAAAATGTGTCATTAAAAAGATATATATTGTTATACCATTCAACTTTTGTCTGTAACATTTCTTTTTATCTTCAATGGAATAGGTGCTAAAATCCGTTTTAATTGCGTGGCCCACCTTGTATACTTATAAATAACGCAATGTCTTTTTTACACAAAATAGATCCGTCAGTTAAATAATTATTTACTTTCTTATTAAACATTAAAATAATATTCATTTTGTCAAGTATGTATCTATATAGCGCTCCTTTGAAAATTTTTGATTTATGTATTATACATATACATGAAATATAATCCAGCAGGCATTATTGCAAAGTAAGTAAGGAAGTTCATTCCTTTATGTAAATAATTATAAATTATATTATAATTATGTTATTGTTCTCATTCATTTATTTCAATGTTAATAAATAATAAGTTCTTATAATATTTTATAATGATGAGATATACTTACCATATAGAAATTTCTTATATAAATAAGTCCAACACCTATGCAGTACATAACGTCAAGACTTTAACCGGAATTGATCGCAAAATCATAAATTTTTAAAAATCCGAATCGAAAATATTAAGGTCTATAATCTGAAAAGTAGAGCATACAACAAATGTGTGTGTGATAACACGAAACAAAACATTAAATTGTCAGTAATTATCACAAAATTTTGCGTTCTCACATTTGTGTCACGTTTTTCTTTCCGAATGCTAGATATTAATTTTTTTGAATAAAATTGTTTCAAAAATGGATTGTAAGAAAACTATGCTCTTCGACATTGAACCTGGAGATGAAATCGTTATTTCTGGTATCGCCGGTAGATTTCCTGAATCTGATAACATAAAGCATCTTCAGGAGAATCTGTTTAACAAGGTAGACCTTGGATCGAATGATACCCGACGATGGAATCACGGTAATAACATTTAATCTATTATATATGGTGAAAAATATAATATAATGTGAAAAAATTGTATAACATATTTAAAAAAAATATATACATATAATTATTCTATAATTATCTAAATCTGTCATTTATTGAAGTAATTACATTATATATAATCAATAAAATCTTCAAGTAAAAAAATATCTCGTTTAAATCATATGATTGAAAACTTACAGTTCACCCAGAAGTACCACAACGCACAGGAAAAATCAATAATATGGAGAAATTCGATGCAGAATATTTTGATATTTCCTTCGATGAAGTTGCTATGATGGATCCTATGGGTAGGATGTTATTAGAACATACCTATGAAGCTATTATCGATGCAGGAGTAAATCCGAAAGATATACGTGGGACAAAAACTGGAGTTTTTATCGGGGCATGTTTTTCTGAATCGCAAGAAAACTGGATTTACGAAAAACATCAGGTATTTAAAATATTAAGTGCGATCAAGAATCAAGCTCGAATGCATTAATCATAATTATGCAGTAATTATAAAAATTTTAACAGATAATGTTTTTATACATATCTAATCAAACAAAAAAATTTTTTTATATTAAAACATATTTGTAATAAGCAAACAAATTTTCTAAGCAATCAATGTATATGCATTAGATATCTGGTCCTGTAATTGTTGGATGTAGCAAGACTATGCTGGCAAATCGAATTTCTCAATGGTTGGATATAACAGGACCGTCTTACACAATCGATAGCGCTTGCAGTTCAAGTCTTTTTGCTATGGAACGTGCTTTTAGAAGTATGCAATCGGGGGAGTGTGATGCCGCTATTGTCGGTGGTGCAAATCTCTGTTTGAATCCTCTTATATCCTTGCAATTCACGCGACTAGGTATTTCTGTTTATATTAAAAAAATTATAAATTTATAATATAGGAGATTCTTATACATATATAAATCTAAACAATTTAAAGAAATATACTTATAAATATATTCCAATATATATTATGATTCATAACTGTTACGTTCTAGGAGTTTTATCGCCTGATGGAATTTGTAGATCTTTCGATGAAAACGCAAACGGTTATATGCGTAGCGAAGCAATCGGTATAGTATACCTGCAAAAGGCAAAAAAAGCTAAGAGGATTTATGCAACCGTTGTGTATACCAAGATAAATTGTGATGGATATAAAGAACAAGGCATTACTTTCCCGTCTAGCAAAATGCAAGGAGCTTTGCTTCAAGAATTTTACGATGAATGTGGTATATTGGTCGCAAAGTAATGGGAATTTGGGAAAATAGGTACTTACTGTACACTCGTTGTTTACAAGTATTTCTAGCTAAAAACTGTACTAACAAATATACAATTTAAAATTTAAATCATTTATTATAAATAATTAATATTTTAAATAAAAGATTCTTTATTTCATATTTTAGATAACAATTTTTTGTCAGTGCATTCACATATTTACATTTTTACTTGGAAAGCAGAAAGACTTATTTAAAAATCTTTGTTTTGTTTTTAAAAGATATAAAATAAAATTATATATTTTATTTTACTTTTATATTATATTTTACAAAATACATAATAAACTTTTTTTTTTCAGATGTATATCAAATATGCGCATAGCCGATAGACCTTTATGCTGGTATATTCCTGACGAATGGACTCTGGAGGACGCTGCGACAGTCCCGTGCGCTTATGGCACATGCTGTTACGGACTATATATAAAGACAATGATAAAGAAAAGCGACAAGATATTAATTCATTCGGGTACTGGCGCCATAGGTCAAGCCGCTATTCATCTTGCGCTTCACGAAGGCTGCGAAGTATTCACCACCGTCGGCACCCCGGAAAAGCGAAAGTTTATAAGAAAGACTTTTCCATCTATTCCAGAGGATCATATCGGAAATTCGCGCGACACTAGTTTCGAGCAAATGATATTCTTAAAGACTAACGGTCGCGGCGTAGATATCGTACTGAACTCATTAGCTGAAGAGAAACTTCAGGCTTCTATTCGTTGTCTTGCGAGAGGAGGGCGTTTCTTGGAAATTGGAAAATTTGATTTTATGGCTAATAATATATTGGACTTGTCAGTTTTTTCAAAAGGTATTACATTTTACAGCGTTATGTTGGACAACTTATTCTCGGCTACAAAAGAGCAAAGAATGGTATTGAATAAGTTCCTAGTCAATGGCCTTATTAGCGGAGCCATTAAGCCAATCAGCAGAAAAGTTTTCCAAAGAGACGAAATTGAGTCTGCATTTAGATACATGGCAGCTGGAAAGCATATAGGAAAAGTAAGTCAATAATTATTAATTAAAATGATTTGTAATTGTACTTGATTACTTGATTTTTTCTATCAAGAGAGGCAGCACATTGTAACATACAATAGATTTTATATATCACAATTTCTAGATAATCATAAAAATATATAAAGCTGGCGAATCTATAAGCGCACCTATTCCGGCACTTCCACGTTATTATTGTATGATCAACAAGACATATGTCATTTTCGGTGGCTTAGGTGGTTTCGGTTTAGAATTAGCCGATTGGTTGATTATTCGAGGCGCCGAGAATCTTGTGCTTGTCTCGCGCACAGGAATAAAGAACGGATATCAGCAAATGAAGATTGACGACTGGAAATCTTATGGAGTGAGGATATTGATCTTATCGAACCTTGATGCGTCAAACGTCAATGATTGCGAACGTATATTGAAAACAGCGGAAAAGCTAGCGCCAGTAGATGCTATATTTAATCTTGCTGTGCTGTTAAACGATAAGATTTGCCAAAATCATACCGTAGAGACATTCCAAGTGCCATTTAAAGCAAAAGCTTGGGCGACGAAGAATTTAGATCGTTTGTCTAGAAAGATTTGTCTCCAGCTTCGACACTTTGTTGTGTTTTCCTCTGTTTCCTGCGGCAGAGGCAATGCCGGACAGAGCAATTACGGCATGGCAAACTCTGTTATGGAAAGAATTTGTGAGAGAAGAGTGCAAGAAGGTTTACACGGTTTGGCGATTCAGTGGGGCGCAGTGGGCGATGTCGGTCTCGTTGCCGATATGCAAGACGACGACAAGGAATTGGTTATTGGCGGTACTTTGCAACAACGTATAAGCT